ATTAGGTTTTTGTCTTCTCTTTCATGGAAATTCCTAATTATGATGAGATTTCTTTCTTTCTTTTTTGGCTTATTGACTATAAGAATTCTTTTTGTAGCATCTTTAAATAACTAGGTGAACTTGTCCAATAACAACTGAAGTTGTGCTGAATTAATTTTTACTTCCTTTTTCTCAGGTGCTTTTGTAGTTGTAGGACTTGATTCTACTTCAATAAGTTTCAGTGGTGAAGATAATCATTTAGATTCTTGTATTCTAAAACTGAAAGTGTTCTTTATACTTTTAGTGTTTATAAAGTTTTTTGGGTTACTCAGTTTGAAAATTACTTGGTAAAAAAAATTTTCTATGTATAAGGTTTTTGCACTTTTTGGCTATAAGTTCTAAGATTTTAAAGTATGTATGTTTGTGATTATTGAAAAAAAATTAAGAGAAAGACAAAAACCTAATCAAATAGCTTAAAGCATTCAAAAAAGCAGTAGAAACAAATAATTAGAGCAAAGAAAGAAGAATAACAATTGCTACTGGATATCTAAGTGACTTAGCAACAGACTGGTACCGAGAAAACAAGACAAAAATTAAATACTGGAATAAAAAAAACAACACAGACAAAGGTTTTTTTCATTTACTATTTATATTCTTTGTTACATCTGATCAGCACTACTATTGGCAGATTGAATTAAATACACTCATACAAAAACCTAGAGAAAAAATCAATCTTACAATACAAAATTTAAAAAATTATTACAAAGAGTTGAAACCAGCAGAAAACTTCTGGCCCTATACATTGTACATATATTTCCTGAAGAATTAAATAGCAAAATGGCAAACTTTATTACTATAACTGCCCCAACAACATTAGATGATGCAATTTTTTGTGCAAAAAAGGTTGAAGCCAAAGAATATTATGGTAAACAAACATCACAACAAGCCCTTCAACAAACTGGGAGTGATATGGAAACCCTACTAAAAGCAATAAATGGAATGTCAATCGATTACCCAATATGGTAACCTTGGCAGCACAGTTAAAAAATTGGAATCAAAATAGTGATAATTATAAAAATAATAATTTTTATAATAATAATTAGAGCAATTAAAAGAATCAAAGTAACTAGCTTCCACAAAACCTAATATTATATGCTTCAACTGCATTCAAAAAAGCCATATTGCACATATTTGCTATCTTCAAAAAATAATAATCAAGCCAATACAAATAAACAGTATAGCAAAAATAACTAACACAAAAAAGTGAATTATTGCAAAACAATCGAAGAAATCAACAATAACAA